AAAAAAAAAAAATTCACTGTACAGGCGGTACTGTACTCGGCAAACCAGAATGGATGCTCACCCAACCACTACACCAAACACTCATTTCTCTCCAAGGGCTACTTATTTCTACCCAAAACTACTAAAAGCAATTTTCATGAAGTTATTAGTGAATATACCATGAATTAAACATTACAATCAGTATGCCTACAGGGTCTCCAAAGTAAACCATTCTGTAGATACATAATCTGGGGCAATTATGGCTATTATTTCATATTCACTTTTATCACTTAAAATATTCTACCAAAAAAACCTTTACTCTCCTGAGAAGACATATGAGAAAATACTTTTCTGCTTCAAAGCTCAGGAAAGAATATTTAGTTCTGCTGACCATGAACATAAAAAGCAAAAGCAAATTTTCACAGTGGAATATATGTGAAATATAAATATCATCTTTTAACTTTATATTGATATATTCTTAATATATTTTTATTTACTATTTTAAAATATTTTATTTACTATTTTATTTATATAAATATTTATATTTAATACATTTTTATTTACTATTTTATTATATTTATATTTTGAGCCAATTATAGAAGAACTGAGACATATGTGCAAACAAAAAACTGCTCCAAATAATTTATATAATTCACTACATCCTATTAAAAACCTCTAGTTCTAAACAGAATTAGAAAGTTTATTACTAGAAAAAAAAGAAAATAATTACCCTATCACAATGCTTTCTGCATCCCTAACTGACATTCCAACATTAAACCTATAGCAATGTTTTCAGGCTGTCAACATTAAGAAAACCAGGATCATCACTCACTTTCCATATATGTGATTGTGGGAAGTGCTACAGTCGCTTTAGAAGACAGCTTGGAAGTTTCCACAGACTTACCATATGACCCAGCAACTGTATTCCTAAGCATTTACCCAAATAATCTGAAAACTTATGTTCACACAAAAATTGATACTTAAATGTCTGATTTATTCATAATCACTAAAAACTACAAGCAAGCAAAATATCCTTTAATGGGTGAATGGATAAACAAACTGGAGTACATCCATACAATAAAATGTTATTCAGCAAAAAAAGGGAGTAAGCTATTATCATCACATAAAACATATAGACAAATCCTAAGTGTGTTTTTTCTAAGTGAAAGAAGCCGGATCCAAAAGGCTGGCTTTTGATATAATTATGATATAATATATATCATTATACACAACATGTATGACAATATTGTATCATTCCATTCATATGACACTCTAGAAAAGACAAAACTGGCTCAGCACCTGTGGCTCAAGTGGCTAAGGCGCCAGCCACATACACCTAAGGTGGTGGATTCGAATCCAGCCTGGGCCCACCAAAACAATAATAACGGCTGCAACCAAAAAATAGCTGGGTGCTGTGGCAGGCACCTGTGGTCCCAGCTACACGGAAGGCTGAGGCAGGAGACTTGAGCCCAGGAGTTGGAGGTTGCTAAGAGCTGTGATGCCACGGCACTCTACCCAGGGGATAGCTTGAGGC